GTCAATTGCTCATCAAATTAATATCCTTCTCAAACACTATTTATGGAAGAAATATGGCTCTAAAGAAAAAGGCATGCCTATAATTGCTTGGGAAGAAGTCCGCCTACCAAAATCTGATGGTGGGCTTGGAGTGCTTGATATTTCCTCCACAAATTTCTTAATACAGAAGACACACCATGGGTGAACATCATATGGGAAACTTACTGCTCTGTCAACCCACCGAGTGACAAACTTGTGGGATATTTTTGGTGGAGAGATGTCATCAAACTCATGCCCACTTTCAAATCATACTCAAGATGCCACCCTGGCAATGGCAGTACTATGCTCTTTTGAATTGACAGATGGAATGATCAAAGCCTCAACATTGCATATCCAGAACTTTATTCTAGTCGGTCAAGTCAAGATATTTGGAGATATCAATGGAATTCAACCAGTTATTCTTCCATCAAGCTGTACAAGGCAATGATGGGTCCAAGTAATGCCCATATGATTTTCAAATGGACCTGGAAAAGCTCTGCACAACTCAGGCATAAGATCTTTATTTGGTTGCTCGTGTATAACAGAGTGAACACCAGGAATTTACTCCACAGAATACCAGATTATAATCGTGCACTCTGTAATGAAAAGATTGAGGAAACAGTGGTGCACCTCTTTTGGGACTGCAACTTTGCCTCAGAATGCTGGTACCAGATTATCCCTAATAAACAGAGAGGCATCTCACAATATGATGAACTCGGTCTCACAGTAGACAAGCTACCTCATGAGATTGCTATGGACATTATCATTGCAGGCCGTTGGGGTATCTGGTCTGTCAGAAATGATAAAATCTTTCGAGGCAATGAATCCTTCCATTCAGGATTGGCTGCATCATTTCTCAAAAGGAATTGAGAAGGTTATCATCGAAGCAAAACCAGCAAAGGCACAGAAATTAAAGTCCTGAACTGAACTTCATTTGTAATTTTCTTTATGTTCCCTAGAGCCGACATTGGCTTACATTTCTATCTTTTTTATTTGCTCCTTTGCTCCTTTTGTACATAACTTTACTTATATAATATAATTTTCCGTAGAACAACTGTCATTCAAGTGTTGCAACTCACTGCCAGAGGCTTTCATAATAAGTAGAGTATCATCTACATATTACACCATAGGGATGTCAAGGCAAGAGAAAAGGGCAATTGGTCTTTCCAAGTAAACTTCATGCATAGATTTGTTTATCATGGATAGTAGATTCTCCCTCCGTCCCATAATATAATATCGTTTTCAAGCTATGGGATGGAGGGTGTAGTCAGCAACAATCTAGAATAAAGAGTGATGCAGATAGGGCGTCTCCTTGTCTACCCTCACCGTCACCTTTGCATCCGAACTTATTTGCAGCCTCATCATTAAGAAGATCTTGAGAAGAAACATAGCTCACAATTTGACTAATCCAAACACAACATTTGTCTCCAAAGCCTCTACATCTCAAAATGTCTAGGACAGAGTGATGCTCAAGTTTGCCAAAGTTTTTTTTAAGTTTAGTTTGGTAACGAGAAATTTAATTTTGATCTTTAGCATTGATGCAAGTATTCAAGAGCCCGAGCTACACAATTCTCGATGGCCCTATATTTGATAAAACCATGTTGATTAACATGTACTCCCTTTATAAACTAATATAATATGTTATATCACTACACTAGTGGTCCAATATGTCTCATATTATTTATAGAGGAAGTACCTACTAGAGAATACCTGCATGCAGTCTATTTGCCAATAATTTGGTAATGATATTTAGGTTACAGTTAGCAATGAGATGGGCATAAAATCATTCACCCCGATAGCCCATCAACTTTAGGAATGAGAGTGATGAGAAATGCATTGATGCTTTGAATACAGAGAGAACCTTTATGGAAGTTTTTTTGCGGGTGAGAACCTTCATGGAATAGAGAACATAAATCATGGAAGTCCTTCATCATACCTGTGTGAAATCCATTAGGGACAGGAGACTTATTGGAAGGAATATACTTTATGTTATCATCAATCTCATCGGAAGTAATCACAGCTTCTAAAGCTTGCAGGCCATGATGCCTATAAATCAACTCGGGAAAAAAGATTAGGGTTTCTCTGCCTCCCGTCGGCGCCGCTGGTCCACCTCGTCTCCGGTGGCCTTATGGCTATGGTGGTGCGGTGGATCCCGGCCCTTGCCGGCAAGAGGGTGCCGTTTTTAGATGTTCCTTCGAATTTTGTCAGGGTTTGTGTCCTTCTTACGAAAACGAGACGGTGGCAGCTCCGTGAAGATGGAATAAGGTTCTTCCCGCCAAGACCCCATCCTGGTGGTGCTTCTAGCATCGTCGCTGGGCATCTGGAGGTGTGTCTCCAGCGGATCTGAACTTGGTGGATTTACTGGGAATCTGATCGTAGTTCGTCTACGTTGTTGTGTTTTTAGGTTGGATCCTTCCAATTTACGCTACTCTTCGGTAGTGGCGGTTGTTGTTCTAGTGCATTGGTCGTATGGAGCCTTAGCACGACGACTTCCCAACTATCAACTACAACAAGTTTTGTCCGACTCTGACGAGGAAGGGGCGATGACGGCGGCGTGCCTTTGGCTGGCTTCAGTGCTTGTAGTCATTGTTAGGTGGTCTATGGATCTAGATGTAATTTTATTATTTCTGGTGTTCGTTGTACTGCCATGATTGAAGATGAATATATCAGAAGTTTTTTCGCAAAAAAAAACAATGGGAAGACCATTGCATTAGAGTAGTTAACAAAAGTAGGAGAAGTAAAAAACATGTCCAGTTTCTCCTGGATATGGGATTTCTGCATATTACACCAAGTGATTTTTCTTCCTTTCAAGTTATATCGACAAGTTGCAAGTTGTTGGTTACTTCACTAAAGACGAGCATCTTAGTAAATTTTCCACATGGATTATGCCTACTAGTTCAAAGCATGTTATTCACCACATACAGCCAAATATGATTAGTTATTCCCACAACACTAGGCATTTCAAATCGTATGGCCCATGTGGTGAGCAACTTAAAAACAAGCACCATGTATTCCAAAACTCCCCCATGGAAGGCTATAGCCATCAATTTTCTTATCCTACAATGAATCTTGCTTCACAAGGTTGCTAGATTTAAGCCCTTCGTATTGTTTCATCCAAGGGCCATAGTGATGTCTTACCTTGTGAGAGGTATAAAAGTACTAAATAGACAATATAGTTTTGTTTTTTGGAACGACTCCCATTAACAATATGTGTTTATTTTTTCATGGACGGTTACCTTATCAAGCATTAAGTGAAAAAGTATGTACTTAAACTTGCATATACGCACCATGGTGTATGCAAGGTTGATAATTTTTTTAGAAAATGGAAATGCCGCATACAATTTTGAATTATTGCATTTGGTTTCGAATCAGATTGAGCTATTTTAAAAACAAAGCTCCAGAATCCAGTGACAATAGTTTGTTCCACCTAAAAGGTATCTTTGAAGACACAAATAATTTGTTTCATCCATCGATCCAAACATATTTGATTTGATTTGCTGATGTCATTGCCTTTTTAAATATGTCAGATCCTTGCATTTCTCTGGTGAAATAATATGGGAAGTCAAAGCTCCTTATATATTCGTATGTTTCATATCCAAAATATGTTGATTTAATCGATGTGATCCCCTTGATTTCATGAATAAAATGTTCCACAATCTATTTAGGAAAGAGACAATAATGTGCATTACTATTTACCTTTTTATGCCACGATGAATTAATTAGTGGCAATGATATCTGGCGAACGTTCGCCGGGAGAGATCCCGCCCCCCTCCTCTCGAGTCTCACTCCTAGCGAACACCCAGAGAGCCTGGCGATCCAGATGGCCAAAGAATGACAATTATTGATGAAAATTGCACCAAAAATAAACAACTGCCATGTTTTTTTTCTGCCATCTGGCAGGTTCGCAGAGGTCATGCGTGTCAGCTAACGTTCACTGGGGACTGGGTATTAGTGTCGTTAATTAGAGGGTTCGATGTAGTCTTTATGGCAAAATAAAAGCCTCAACAATTAAAGGCCATGTCTCACTAAAACTCTTACAAGGACCAGGGTAAAAACAAGTAAGCTTACTTCGCTTATTGAACTTGGTGTGCAAGATGCCAAGATTTCTTGGTGAGGAAGAAACTTGCATGGTAAGTTTGCCTAGCTGAGAAGCAAGCTTGTGTGGTTTTGCAGCTTATTTGCCGATTAAGATGTCTTGAGTTACATGAGTAAGATGTTTGTAGTATTCTGATTTGTAGCGGCATACGACAAATTGCTGTGACACATGGTTTTATAATAACACCCTATATATACAACTATAAATAATTGTTACCCGCAAAAAAAAACTATAAATAATTGACAGTGTGATTTGGTGGATCTGATTTCAGTGCTGCTCCAACAGGACCGTGATTTCGTCTTTGTGCTGCAGTGCGTGCTCAGGTTACCAATAATTTACAGTAATATGGGCACATGAAGCGCGTGAGTCTTTGAGCACGAGCTGTGCATTCAGCTATGAGTAACTACCGCGGTTTCACGACATACTGTATGCAGGAGTAGTACTCCAGGTTTCTTGCCGCCGTCTGCCGGGTCAGTACGTAGGTAGGCGTATATATTCACCACGTACGTGCACGCTACTCCTCCCACACCACACCAGATAGCCGCAGTAAAAACAAAATCTAAAAATAATAGTACATACTAATCGAGAAAAAACAAAATATCCCGAGCCCAACCACGCACGCTGGCCCCAGCCAAACGCCAGCCTGTCGCGCTCCTTCTTCCCCAAGCTGCGCGACAAACCCACCCCTTCTCCCTCCTCGCCTCCTCCTATATAACCAGCGCCCCCACTCCCCCCAACCCAAACCCAACTCCATCGCCATCTCAGTCTCAGCAATAGCATTCCTCCTCTCACATACTCCAGCAGCAACGAGAACAATTTCATATCATACATACGGTTCACGACGGCACCAGCTCTTCCCTCAAATATACACTAACACGTCGCGGCAATGGGGCTCTGCATGTCTAGCGGCGGGGCGACGGTGGCGGCGGTGCGCTCGGAGGGGCTGGCCACCTCGACGGCGATGGTGCTGCTGCCAACGGGGGAGCTGCGCGAGTACCCGCGCCCTGCGACGGCGGCGCAAGCCCTCCAGGACTCCGTGGAGGCAGGAGACGGCTCCGCCGGGTGGTTCCTGTGCGACGCCGACGCGATGGGGTTCGAGGGTCCCGTGGCGGCCGTGGGCGGGGGCGAGGAACTCCGCCCGGGCCAGATCTACTTCGTGCTCCCCGCCGAGGTTAAGAGGAACGGGCTCCGCCGCGAGGACGTGGCCGCACTCGCCGTCAGGGCGTCCGCGGCGCTCGTCAGCAAGGCCAACACCAACGCCTCCGGCAGCGGCGGACGGAGGAGACGCGCCGGCTCTGTCTCTCCGCTCGTGTTCGCCCCGCCGCCGGAGGTGGACGAGACTCTTGCCTACAAGACCGTGCCGGCGCTGGTAGTCAAGAAGCGCCCGGTGGCGCGCGTAAAGAGCGCCGGGAGAATGCAGCCGAGGTTCGCCCCGGATCTGACCGCCATTCCTGAATGCGAGTAAACCGGCCTTGGCGGATGGATCGACCCATCGGTCGTGGCTACAACAAAAATCCGGGGGCGAACTCGATTCTGGAGAAGCTCCGGCAATTCTGGAACCAGCGGGAAGAGAGCAAGGCAGGTGGGAATTGATGTCGCCAGCCTGGCGGGACGGCATCAGCGGACGACAAAGCGGAAGGCCGTATGATCCATATCGGACGGAGGCTGCTGGCTTCAGTGGCTTGGCGCGGAAGATGAAGATGGCATAACGTCGGCGCAGAGTTTTTTGTTTTGTTTTGCGGGAAGTCGGTTCAGAGATTTAGCATGTGTATATTTCGTAGGAGCAAAATTTTGATCGCGTTAGTTGAGCAGGCGCTCTGAGAACGAAGTATGGAGGCAAATATAAACAGTGAACATAAACTAGAGTACTCAACTTTTGCCTAAACGTGCGCTTGCTTGTGTATTGCTCTGTTTTGATCCGTTTGTTGTTCTGGGACGTTCGAAACTTGCAATTAAATTAGTACTACATTTTTAAAGCAAACTAGTAGTACTAAACATTTGCCATTTCTATGATTAAGGGCTTCATGTACACACGGCGCTTTTAGTTAAAATGAGGCTCGAAAAAGACAACTGGGACTACTCCGCGCGCCGATGTGTTTCTGTGTTCGATCTGAACTATTCCACGTTGCTGCGCAGACTGCCGCATCCTCTGCCGGAAGGCCGTGTAGATTAAACCCGCGACGGCCGACGGCTCATGTATACTTACTGTGACGCGTCGTTGAATTTGTAATAAGGGCAAAAAAAATTTGTTTAGACATGGAGGGCAAAGTTTGTGGTGCGCGTTTCAAGGTCAACTTGGCCCCATGCTGTGCCTACTTGTGCAGATCGCCGTGCGGCGACGTGTAGGCTGCGGCGAACAGGCCATGCACTTGCTGCTGGCATGACTGCTCCACTTCATTGGCCTGCCTACAAGTTCGGACGTTCTTACTGTAACGTTCTTTCCCCATACAACATGTATATATACGACAAAACTGTCGTACGTATAGTGTTGTTCATACCAAATACCCTCTCTCTCAAAAAAAGATAAGAGTATTCCAAACATCAACAACAACGAGTAGGAAGTTTTCTGTGAACTAAGCATACCTCAGATGGTTAGATTCTTTGTGATGGAATCAACCCATAGGGAGGAGAGGAAGGACGAGCGCGAGCCGATGTGCCGCCAGGAGGTGTGGACGCCACCGCACCATGGCTGCTTCTGGGAAGCATTGCATCTCCATTTCCGCGCTCTCACGCTCCGTTGCATCCGCAATGCGCCACGACATTCGTCATAAAGCTCAGCTTCGACAATTGTGTCCATGCCTCCTACCTAGGTTGTCACCTCCGGTTGCGCCTCTACCTCATTTGAGCTCGAACTCGCCCGCACGATGGTCAAGAGCTGTCACCGCAGATGATGAAGAACCATAAGACTAAATTGCTTGTGGTGTGTGTGTCTGGAATTCTCGAAGTCACCCATAACCGTAAATTCATTCTAATAAAACTAAAATGGACAATAGCTTTCATCCTTTCTATGTTATAAATAGTTCTCTATGTTATCTATTAAGAATTTGATTAGAGTGAATTTGAATTTGTTGTTCTCAAATAATGAAGATGGTTCATAAAAGTCATAAAAAGGCACTATTTGACTTCTGACAAAATATAATGCCTTTTTTATGACCATGTGAGTACCTTCCATGTTGGTCAAAATTGTTGTCTCATGTAGGTAAATGAGCGGTATGTATTTTCATACCAAGCTATGTACACGTAAAAATGGTGAGATGAAGCTACTCCTCAAAGTAAAATTAAAACGGTCGACCGTGTGTGACAAATTTGACAAAATTCATCTAAAAGAGCTTCAACATAAACACAAAATTAAAGATTTACCTTCAATACAAATAAGAGCTAATCACGAAATGAAATCATAACATCGATGTGCATCATTTTCACGGGGAGTTTATCTTGAATCAAACCATCGGAGTATAAATTAGAATAGGCAAGACGAGTGAAAAAAAGAGCACCTGCAAAGGCTTGTACCCGGCCGCAGTGTCATAGCCACTAAATGCGCTAGCTATGCAATACAGAATATGCTCACTGAACTCTCTTCTCTGGCCGAACTACTGGATGGGGTCATTCTGAACAATGATCAACCTGACACCATTGCGTGGAGGTTCACGGATGATCGGGAATATAGCGCCAAGTCAGCCTACCATTTGCAATTTGAAGGTTCAGTACACATGCAGGGATACAGGCTAATTTGGTCAGCTTGGGCGCCACGCAAATGCCGCTTCTTTATTTGGACTGCAGCGCTTGGGAAGCTGCTAACGGCGGACACGCTTCTGCGACGCGGATGGGAGAACAATTACTTCTGCCCGCTGTGTGAGAGAAATCTGGAAACACCGATGCATCTCATCATCGATTGCCCGTGGTCGCGTTCCGTTTGGGACTCGATCGGCTCCTTGGCCTGTATGCCGGCGCTGCAGCCACATTCGTGGACTCAAACAACTCACCTCTTGAGCTGGATAGAGTGCTGCCACTTGCAAACCCCAAAGGACAAGAAGAAGGGATTGATTTCACTTATCCATCTGACCGCTTGGGAGATTTGGCTTGAACGAAATAGGCGAAATTTTCAGCAAGAAGCCTGGGGCCTGAGCAGCTTCACTGGGCACATCAGGGATGAGATCAAGATGTGGAACCTGGCGGGTGCTGGAATACCTTTTGACCCAGGCTGATTTTTCTTCGTCTTCGGGTTTTTTGTTTTTGCTGTTTTTCTCTTTCTCTCCTTTCGTTTCAGACCCTGCGCTTGGGTTTGGCGCTGACCCGCCTCTTGGGTCTCCCCTGTATTTTGTTTTCCCCTACTGATCAATGAATTTGGCAGAGCAACTGCTAACATTCAAAAGAAAATAGAGCCTCTTAGCTCTAAAGCGGACTTTCGGAGGAGCACGGGTGCGTTGGAGAATGTTTGTTTGAACCCCTAAAAATGATGGTTGAAAGATCTGATATTTTTAGATTTTGGCGTGAATACACATGCATGTGGTATAAGTACTTGTGAACTTCATTTCACTAATACGTTATATTATACGCCGCACAAAAAAAGACAAAGTTTCGGCCCCAAAATCAACGAAAACAAGCCTATTTTTTGAATGTATTTGTTTTTGTATCTCTCACATGCAAGCATGTATATTGATGAAGATTTAGCCCGATGTACTACACTGCTATACATGCATGCCCAAAAATATTCAAATTCAGGCCATAAAAATCATGTTTTTAGCTTAAAAAAAGGCTCAATGTGCCCGTGCTCACATGATAATACTATTTGCTTTTAGCTTTCTCTACCTGACTGGCTGGAAACAGGAGAGTTCCTCTTAAGCTAGATTGAGGGGTCATGGGCGTCAGCATCAGCGAGGAAGTCATATCGCACGGTCACGGCAGCATGCACGCAGCAACAGAGAAAGCGACGCTACGTACACACCTTCCTCCTTTCCTTTTCGTGCTCAACAGCTTCACACGGGAGCGGTACCGTAACGTAGGCGCGACGGCTCCTGTGGACTCGCAGGTCGCTCTTACTTGTGTGGACGGACGTACTAGGAACTTTTTTGAGGCAAAAAAGTGTCTGGCATATGTCTGGCTCTGTAATGTTGTCATGTCATATATAATTATTATTTATAGTTCCTTATATAATAAGGTTAGTTATAAAAGTACTGTTTTTGACACGGATTTGATGAACATGGGTGTGTGCACACATTTTATGAATAGTAAAGTTAGAAAAATGCTAGAAAAAATCTGAATTTATTTTTTTGATATACATAGTCAACTGGTATACTGCATATAAAGTTTCACGAAGAAATCACATTCGTGATAATCTGGACAAAAAATAACAAAATTGAAGTTATGTTAGAAAACAATGTTTAATGAATAGTATGGTCGCATTTGTATTTTCTTCACTAAGAATAACATGGGTATCAATACATCATGAAACTTCATACGTGAGTAGAACGATCGACTAAGGTTCATATCCTAAAGAAATTTTTTATTTTTTCTAGTATTATTTTATGAATTTACTATTCACGTGGGTGCACGCGCATTCATGTTTAGCTCTGTATTTTTGATTTTCTTCTCTTTTCTCTATTTCTTTCTCATGTTTATTGTATCGGCCTAGGATTCACATATAACTAGTCTCTTGCATGAAAGTCATTTCTCTGTTCTTTTCATGTCTCTCTCCTTCATATAAATAAAATAGCCATGCAGGCGGGCTATAAGCCTGATGTTGTAATTGCTCTAACGGCGTCCGTCCGCCCATATCTTCAACGGTTCCATTGCTACTTCACACCCGCCCTGTCATCTTCCCTTTTCCTGGACTACTTTTTTTTATTTGAGGGAACTGCATTTTTCTTTTAACTAACGTGAATTGATTTTGTAGTACATCTTCAGACTGCAAAGACTTTGAACAGCCACTGTGCATGTGTTCTTCGTCCCCGTGACTCATGACCAGGGTAACGATGAACAATTGAACAGATCAATCCGTGCATATACTAACTGCCCTGCATCGTCCGGACAGACGACACGGGTGGCGTTCCGTTCATCCTCCCAGCGCCTTCTCATCTCCGATTTCGTCCCCTGCCGCCGCCGTACGAAGTCACCGGGAGAGTCCCACACGATCATCGGTGGCAGTGGGGCTCAGTTGCAGTTCTCTGTTGGATCGGTGGCAGCGGATAACTCATTTGGGGAGAAGGAAGATTTCAGAGTTTCAACAAGCCCAATGATATCAATATTCTCAGAGTGAACCAAGTCTTTGAGCTGATCCCGGCACCCCCTAGCGCCGAAAACCCTAATGTTCCAAAATAAGGCCTTCATCTATGAGATAGGTTTTTAATACAAAGACTTGACCTGCTAGGAGCCACGCATGATTTAGATCGTTTGCCAGCTCCATGTTTAGGCACAACCGAAGAAACCTGAACCCTATCAGGTTCCTCCACACCCCCACCGGCCACA